ACGAGAACACTCGTGAAAGCTGCATTTCAGCTCCGTCCAGAAGGAAAACGCAGCTTCAATTGAAGTGCCGCACGTCAGTGCCCATTCTCACGCTCGCCCACCGAGCTTTGAAATGGCTAGCGCCACGCACTGCTGCTCGGTCTGGAGCATGGTGGATGCGATGGCCATCTCTACCTCTCTCACCCAGAGCAAGAAATTCTCTCCATCCTTCCCCTCGAAGACCTTAACGCTCACCATGAACAGCTTACGGCGGGAGAATCATCCGTCACTGACGGTGGCGTCATAAACAAAAATGAAGCAGACATCTTCTGATGCATGTGCTCTAGCAGCGCGTGTTCGTAATGTGAAAAAGCCTCTAGACGCGCACCGATTGCCTCGAAGCCATGCGCCGCAAGAACATCAGCTTGTTAAGCCCGTCCTGCATGCCCTGGGGCAAAGAGGAAAACTGTTCCATCCTCACAGAGGATCAGCCTAAACGACTCAGGTGTAGATTGACTACAAGTGCTACCAAGTGCAGCGGGGCTGCCGTAGCTTAGCGCTTCTAATGCGTCAAGGTAGTACATACACACTATATCACGTCTGCAAACGCTTGAAATAGAGGAAGCGTAACTTAGGTCACCGACCTTTCGTTCTATACTTAGAACCAGTATGAGTTTAGCGGATCGCAATCCGCTAACTCCAAGAGTAATTATTACCTTAACCCAAGGTTGACTAACTCTTCCGTTTAAAATCCAAAACCGACTTTTATTTATTTTTATCTGCGTCAAAGCCGCCTAATTATAAATGTATAGATCTTCCTAAATATATATAGTAAAATATAAATACATGCATAATAATGGCTACCCAGCCACGTACCGTATTCTTGTTTGGGTGCAGTCACACCATGCCCATCTTGTGTGAGACACGCCCTGTTACCAGAATACGTGTAACCCCGTTACAGCAACTTAAATGCTGCGGGGCTACTGTAGCTCTTTGTTTAGAGAGAGCTAGGCTAAGGTCACCGACCTTACTTTCTGTACTAGAAACAGTGTGAGTGTAGCGAATCGCAATCCGCTAACTCCAAGGGTACCCAAACTCTTAACCCAAGGCCAATCTACTCTACTGTTCAAAATCCAAACTGCATTTCTTTTGTTTTTTTTCGGCAGAGCCGCCTACATCTAAATCTATATTTTTTCTGACTCAATAGTACACCTGAGGTGTAGCCACACCCTTGTGTGGTCACACCATCTTGAGTGATTCCCCCCTTTATACAAGGGTACGTGTAACCCCGTACACTCTCTCCCATCAAAATCGTGAATACCCACAATTCACATTTAACTGTCGCCTCGTACGAGGCTCGCCTCTACATTCCCAGAACCTTCCGCACGCATTCTCTGCTCAATGATCTCTGTGTCTACAGCACGAAAAAAACCTAGCATTGCTGGTTTCGAGAGTGCCCGCGAGCAGAGCCTTTTTTTGTCTCCTGGAACAGGATTATCCAACTCTTAGTCGGCCTACCTCCGAATCTTCGACGAGGTATTCCGTTGCCCGTGACGGGTGCGGTGTGCGACGCTCGCTTGCTGAGGGCTTGAGAAGCGCTTCAATTGAAGCTGCGG